ATCCCGTGTCCCTAAAGTTGTCCCGTGTCCCCATCCCTGTCCCCATCCTTGTCCCCGTGTCCCCAAATCTGTCCCCGTGTCCCCAAACTTGTCCCGTGTTCCCATCCCTGTCCCCAAATCTGTCCCCGTGTCCCCAAACCTGTCCCTGTGTCCCTATCGCGTGTTCCTAAACCTTTCTGGTGTCCTCAAATCTGTCCCAGTCCCCGTCCCGTGTCCCCAGACTTGTCTCGGTGTCCCCAGCCCTGTCTGATGTTCCCAGATCTGTCCCCGTGTCCCCGAACCTGTCCTGGTGTCCCCTATCTCGTGTCCCCAAACCTGTCCCCGTGTCCCCAGACCTGTCCCGGTGTCCCCAAATCTGTCCCAGTGTCCCCAAACCTGTCCTGGTGTCCCCAGACCTGTCCCGGTGTCCCCAAATCTGTCCCAGTGTCCCCAAACCTGTCCTGGTGTCCCCAAACCTGTCCCGGTGTCCCCATCCCTGTCCCCGTGTCCCTATCCCGGGTCCCCAGCCCTGTCCGGTGTCCCCATCCCTGTCCCCGTGTCCCTATCCCATGTCCCCAGCCCTGTCCCGGTGTCCCCAGTCCTGTCCGGTGTCCACATCCCTGTGTCCCCACACTCCCCTGCTGTCCCTATGATATCCTGGTGTCCCAATGATGTCCCAAATGATGTCCCCAACGTCCCCTTGATGTCCCCAGGACCCTGCTGAACGAGCCCAAGAGCGAGATGACCCCAGGGAACGATCTCCATGTCCCCACATTCCCCTGATTTCCCTCCATCCCTGTGATATCCTGGTGTCCCTGTCATGTCCCTGGTATCCCTCTGATGTCCCCAACGTCCCCAATGTCCCCAGGAGCCTGCTGAACAATCCCAAGAGCGAGATGACCCCAGGGAACGATCTCCATGTCCCCTCATTCCCCTGATTTCCCTCCATCCCTGTCATACCCTGGTGTCCCTGTCATGTCCCCATTGTGTCCTGGTGTCCCTATCGTGTCCCCACAATGTCCCCAACGTCCCCTGATGTCCCCAGGACCCTGCTGAACCAGCCCAAGAGCGAGATGACCCCAGGGAACGATCTCCATGTCCCCACATTCCCCTGATTTCCCTCCATCCCTGTCATACCCTGGTATCCCTGGTGTCCCCACAATGTCCCAAATGATGTCTCCAATGTCCCAAATGATGTCCCCACTGTCCCCAGGACCCTGCTGAACAATCCCAAGAGCGAGATGACCCCAGGGAACGATCTCCATGTCCCCACATTCCCCTGATTTCCCTCCATCCCTGTCATACCCTGGTGTCCCTGGTGTCCCCACAATGTCCCAAATGATGTCCCCAATGTCCTAAATGATGTCCCCTGATGTCCCCAGGAGCCTGCTGAACAAGCCCAAGAGCGAGATGACGCCCGAGGAGCTGCAGAAGCGCGAGGAGGAGGAGTTCAACACGGGCCCGCTGTCGGTGCTGACGCAGAGCGTCAAGAACAACACCCAGGTGCTCATCAACTGCCGCAACAACAAGAAGCTGCTGGGCCGCGTCAAGGCCTTCGACAGGTGTGGCTTCCCTGTCCCCAGGGTCCCCAAGGTGTCACCAGGGTCCCCAAGGTGTCACCAAGGTCACCACAGTGTCCCCATGGTCACCACAGTGTCCCCTTGGTATTCTCATGGTGACCCCAGGGTCAGCTCAGTGCCCTCAAGGGCTGCCCTGGGCCTTGGACAGATCTGTTCTCAATGTCCCCAAGGTGTCCCCAGTGTCCCCAAGATGTTCCCAATGTCCCCAAGGTGTCCCCAGTGTCCTCAAGGTGTCACCAAGGTCACCACAGTGTCCCCTTGGTGTCCTCATGGTGACCCCAGGGTCAGCTCAGTGACCTCAGGGGCTGCCCTGGACCTTGGATGGGTCTGTTCTGAATGTCCTCAGTGTCCCCAAGGTGTCCCCAAGGTGTCACCAAGGTCACCACAGTGTCCCCTTGGTGTCCTCATGGTGTCCTTGGTATCCCCAGGGTGAC